GGCCTGCTCCCAGTTGGCTTGTTAGCTCAATTGGTAGAGCGCTGCACTAGTATCGCAGAGGTCAGTGGTTCGAATCCCGTACAGGCCTGATTTTTTTCAGGTCTGATTTTCGCTATTGCATATATAGCGCTCTCTACTGCGAGGATCGTGCATCGTACGTATCTAATACCACAGTTCAAAATATATGACCTTTCATATATTCATTGTATCTGATTTATCATCACGGGTTTATTACGAATCAACATAATGGCCTGCTCCCAGTTGGCTTGTTAGCTCAATTGGTAGAGCGCTGCACTAGTATCGCAGAGGTCAGTGGTTTGAAACCCGTACAGGCCTGATTTTTTTCAGGTCTGATTTTTGCTATTGCATAAATAGCGCTCTCTACTGCGAGGATCTTGCATGATACGTATCTAATACCACAGTTCAAAATATATGAACTTTGATATATTCATTGTATGTGATTTATCATCACGGGTTTATTATGAATCAACTTAACGGCCTGCTCCCAGTTGGCTTGTTAGCTCAATTGGTAGAGCGCTGCACTAGTATTGCAGAGGTCAGTGGTTAGAAACCTGTACAGGCCTGATTTTTTTTTCAGGTCTGATTTTCGCTATTGCATAAATAGCACTCTCTACTGCGAGGATCTTCCATCATACGTATCTAATACCTCAGTTCAAAATTTATGAACTTTCATATATTCATTGTATCTGATTTATCTTCACGGGTTTATTACGAATCAACTTCACGGCCTGCTCCCAGTTGGCTTGTTAGCTCAGTTGGTAGAGCACTGCACTAGTATTGCAGAGGTCAGTGGTTCGAAACCCGTATAGGCCTGATTTTTTTCAGGTCTGATTTTTGCTATTGCATAAATAGCGCTCTCTACTGTGAGGATCGTACATCATACGTATTATTAGTATTGTTAATATTAATATGAATGTCAGTTTGTCAATATATTTCATTGACAGCTGGTGGTTTATTAAAAATTGTCAGCATAGCTATAATTCTATAATTATATCAAACTATCCAAATTAATCCTTAACTGGATACCTTAAAAAAATTAAAGAACAATAGCTTGACAGAGCAATGCCCAATTACAACTAACTGAGGAAAGCCAAAATTGGATGTGGCTTTAATTGTTTGTTGAATGTCAACTAGTTAGTGTATTCTTGAATCATTGTTCTCTTGTGGAACCGGGTGAATACAAAATCATCTGCAACAATACCTTCAAAAATCACTATACAAATTGTTCTGTATTAGTAGCCAAATGCAGCCTCGGACTATCTATTTTTATGGTTGGTGTTTATTACTTGAAAACCAATTCAAGACAAATTTTGAGCTTGCAAGCATCTTAAAGCTCAAGTACTAGTTAAAAAAGTTCTATGGATGTTTTGATGAGAAACAGTTTGCACAGGTTCTCTCATTGTACGAAAGGTAGATTGAGCATGTGGTGGAGAGAATTGTTTTGTTTTTCCAAAGCAAACTTTTGACCATAGGAAAATTTTCATTTGTTAACAAAAACTTAACAAAATGTCACCCTTTTTCCAAGCAAAATGATGTGGAGTGCAGGTGAGAATCTTTTCACAAACTTTTGCACAAAAGTTCCATGAAACCTTGAAGGAACCAAAAATGAATTTTGGCAATTTTTGTTGGCAGTGCTTTTGCACAGTACTGTAATGTGTTCCCTATTTAGTTCTTGTTGTCTTCTTTCAGAAACGTGGAAGATGCAAGGGATCTATTCCTTTAAGCTCAGTAAAAGCAGTAGAGTTTGTTGATGACACAGCATTTGACCAAAACAGGAAGTTTTGCTACTGCTTTCAAGTGTGTACACCAATTTGTTTTAATATTTGTGAGTTATATTTTAGGAATTTTACCATCCTATTGATGCCACTAATTTCTTGGTATTTCATGGGTGTCCAAGCTCAGATTTGAACCAGCGCCAAATCTAACCTTAACTTAAATGTACCTCTGGTTGCCTAAAGTACTGTAAGATTTTGGTTGCTGTCCCAAAAAATTAATGAAGGAAAGAATGCCCACCCACCTGGTATATTTTTTAGTTTATAATTTAAAAGATAAAATGTACACTGAATACATTAGCAACTAACTAGAGGAAGTTGCAATTAGGGAAACAACATATCTGTTCAGATATCCTTCAATATACATGTAACCATATGATACATTGAAAGTAGAATCTGTTGTCAATGAGCACTTCATTTATCTCTAAGGTGTTTCCCATTTCAAGTACATTGGATAAGTACCTTCAGAAGGTGATTTAATTCCACACACATTGTGTGTAAACTTGATGTGAATATATGGTTGGGTAAACTTCAAGGTTTTATTATGGTTTCGCTGTAAGGGTGACCTTTAATTATTAGAGTATACCTTTGACCTTCACATTACTTCACTTTTTACTGTCTGTAGGTTGTGTATGATGACTTAGTCCTCTATGTAAATGCAAGAAGTGAACAAGAGAAGAAAGAATGGGTAGAGGCTATACAAGATGGTATGTATGGAGAAAATGTAGCAATTATTATAGTTGTCAAATGGCTTGGTTTGGTCAGATGATCATGTCATAGGCTTGACTTTTGGAAAATATCCCTCAACTGGTCTTTGATCCCTCCAAGAAGGTGAGCAGGCTCATTTCTTGAATTGAGAAGAAGACAATCAAGTGTAGCACTTATCACTACAAAGAAAACTCCTCAAAAAGTACTTGCAGCTACTTGCATTTGGGTAAAACATGTACAGAATGCTGAGATATCCATAATCCAAGTTGAAATCCGTAAAATTGATCTATTCTCAGGTGTTTGTTTGTTTCAGACTTAATCACACACTGAGGATTGCCCTATTTACAAACACATTTTGTCAAAGAATGTGGATTCTATCATTATTTGATAGGTTTTGTTAATTACAGTAAGATGAATAATTTTGATTAAAAGTGTACACAAAATGCAAATATGTTGGACCAGTCTGAAGGCCCAAGTGCAGTTGCATGAAAGCAAGGCTAGTCAGTCCTCATAGTTTTGTTTTGAGAGTGCATACGAGTGACGCTGTTCCTGAATATCATCAAAAGGGAAGAAAATTTTATACAGGATAGAAGGTTTCGATGTTTGAGATTCCCTTTTACACTCTGAGTAATAAACAATGGATCCATGCAATTTGTTGAGGTGAAGGAAAGAAGTTGGCAATTGTAGGGGGAACTTAATGTTTGTTTGCAGGATTTCAGGTGAGAAGAGGTAAGAAAATGTTTAGACCTACAAGTTAATTTTCCTTCAAATGCGTTACATCTGATTCTGACAAACTTTTACAATGTGGCCTTCCAAATTAACCCATTAATGGCCGCAGCTTTTGTGGAAAACTGTGTTTTGAAGCTAGTCGAGCAGATTTTGGGTCACTGTTGTGGTTTTAAAAGCTCAAACTTACCAAAAACCACTTGACAGCTCGTGCACTCGACGGCCTTTCGATCCAAGTGCAAAATGGCGGCCTGAAAATCTCGGGCACACGCAGAGAGCAAAATTTCGACATAGTTTTTGGGTTGAAAAGTCATGCCCCACTTACGACTTCTACTTTTCTCTCTTTCTCCTGCCCTTTTTTTCCCCTCTCCTTGCCTAAAGTTTCTCCTCACTTGCTGGAAATTGAGTAGGCTTCATTTTGGTGTAGAGATTTTTCAGAAACTACTCATTATTTTCAAAGCACATGCTCGGAAAGGTAGGTGGGTAGTGAAACACGATTTTCGTGCAGATTTTCAGGTCAAAGTGACACGGTTTTTTGGCTATTTCACCAATCTCCTCCACTCAATTGCACTCATTCTGGTATCGTCAAAAGATATTTTCAACCTGTTCAAGTAGGTGCTCGAATTTGTGCTCCAGGGCTAAAAGTGATGACGTCACAGGGCGTAGAAAGGGTGTGGGTCCCCATGGGTGCATACAGGCGCACTGGACGTCAATGGGTTAAGCCACTTTCACAGCCATAATCAACTTTTGGAACAGAGCTGAGAATGGAGAAATATTTGCCCTTGAGGTACCTTGAGAGATGTTCTTGAGGACTTCAAGGATGCTGACTCCAAGGATGAGGACAACATTACATCTACCAAGAAGGGATGCCTCCACAAGCTTAACCGGGTGAGGAATTTTCATGTCACCTAGGAAGAGACTTTTCTGAGTGCCACTGAATACACTTGTATGGCATAGCACAGTGTTAAAGTTTCTGTCAGCATCAGTTGTAAAGTGTTCAAGAGAAAATAATCAAGATGTCACCTTGTCACTGTCATTTGGCTCAAAATTATCACTCTTTTCATAGGGACAGTTGAATTGACTTTCACTGTGATTCTAATATAGCATTTGTGACTTGTGGTTTCATTGCAAGTGGTTTCTTTTAGGAGGAACTCTTCTTTTTCTTGAGGGAGATGCTAACTAAGCAGATCAGCTGGGAACACTATGGGCACAACATAAACCTGCCTATTTGCAGATTTTCTGCTTGCCTTGTTGCAGCAAACAAACTGTATGCCCCTCAACAGTTATGAACTCCTTTCCTTTGTCCCAAGAAATAACATGGATCCACTGGTTTCCTCTCAAGGGCAAAGAAGGAACCTGAAAAAAAACTGAAAACTAAAACTGAAGATTTTCTCCCATTTGTTGGCATCCAAGAACCCAAAATTTTAGGAATAGGGAAATACATGTTGCAGAATATGTGGATGACATCTCATTACGGTAAAACAGCCATGCTTTAAAACCTGACTAGCCTTGCTTCTGTACAACTCAACCTGGGCCAACTAACTAGTCCACCATATTTGTATTCAGTCTATAGAAGATGTTTACATCTATTTCAGTCTTAAAAAAAAAAAAAAAAAAAAAAAAAAAAGAAAATTTGCTGTCAAATTAATTGACCACAACACAAGTATAAAGTTGTGTCTTAAATTTTAGTGATGATTTGACAATGATATCTGAAGTTATTAACTTAAAGATAGAACTTCAAAGCATTTCATTATGGTAATTACATAATNATCTTACTACCCTTCAATATCCGCGTCGCCCACAAACCCATCACCACACTACGTCAGTTACTAACCAACGTTAAAGACAAAGACGAACCGAGGAACAGACAGGGAACGATTTATAAGATCAATTGTTCCGACTGCCAAGCCTCCTACATCGGTGAGACTGGCAGAAACCTCACAACAAGACTGACTGAACACAGACGGGCGACGAGGAAAGGTGATGTCAGCAATCACATTGCTGAACACCATCGACTTACCAACCACAACATTGACTGGGACTCTGCGCAATGCCTAACCTACAGCACTGACTATTTTCAACGACTGACTCTGGAAAGCTGGTTTACTAACTTAGAACAGACTCCCCTAAACAGATGTCAACAACTACCCGCCCCATACAAACGACTCATTCACGACATAAACATCACAAACGACCGAAAAAGAACAACCTAGCTTTACCGACAGACCGAAACAGACCAATCACGAACGACTTACGTCACTTGAGTCTTACAGCCAATAACATCACGGCAAAACCAACCGATCATTTCACACGAACTGGAATAAGAACATTCTACTGACAACAATCACTCACTTGACTCTGATGATGACTTCCGCACAGGTTGTCGAAACGTCAGTCACTGCCACCGACAACAGTCCTTCTCAGGACTACACTCACCCGGACGATCAGACTACACCTTCACATGTTACCCCCGGGTTCAAACCATTTACTGCAATACATTCAGGACATATGAACTCAAAATGCCATTGATGATTTCAATACATTTGGAACAAAATTGGAATAAATTTGACTTAATGGGTGATTATTCTTAGTTTTGTTTGAGTGGTTCTGGCTAAAGTGACCACTCAATATAAGTAGAACACAACACAAACAGGCCGTTGGGATTGGGTGAAGGGTGACAACAGCAGTTTGTTATAGATGACTGCTTAATAGAGGTGAAAATAACAGTACCTTTGGGGAAAAAATTTTGGGACTTTGACAACGGACCACTTAATACAGAGTGACAGCTCAATATGCTGTGGGGTTCTTAATATAGGTTCGACTGTATTATGATTGTTTTACTTTGCTAATACTGCAGGTAGACGTTACACAGAGAATTCAAGGACATCACATTTCATAGCTTCCCAGCCCTTACCTCCTATTCCTCCTACATCAGTGAGTATCCATACTGATACTTTTGGTGTAGATTTTAACCTTGTCTTTCAATAATCCTCTGAAGAACCAAATTTTTATCTTAAATTCTTTACTATTCATGACAAGGTTTTATTTGATTATTTGATATGATATTGAAGTTATCTATTATCAACTAAAGCCAATAAACTTGATGGTTATGCATAATGAAGAGCTTTACTTTCAGTTTACTATTTTCAATGCAAACTTAACACAAACTAATTTTTTGTATTCTGGTCTTGATTTACAATCATGTTACAAATGAATTCAGGGTGAAGGACAGCCTCAGCTGGAACAGAAAGCAAAGAAAGAACAAGGAAAGAAACCACCTGAAGTTGTTGTGGCCATTTATGATTTTCGTGGTGCTGAACAGGGGGATTTATCACTCCTCAAGGTTACTGTACACCTTTAGTGCCATTATTAGTAACACAGTATGCTTATTTGAGATGTTTTATTTAAATACAATCAGATACACACATTAAGAATGCTTCAAAATAGCTTCAGCGTCCCTTTAGGGTGAACAGTTCACATTATTGACACAGCTGTTAAATGAAATTATCTTAATTTTCATGAGTTTCTCGTCAGTAGCACTTTGATTTTAACTTGGAAACTGTTTTCTTTTTTTGTTTTTGTTGAGACACAATTCAATCCCACACTTTGTCTCTCCATCATAAGTTTCCATATCCCCAATAATTACTGAATGATTTCCAGAATATTGAGATGTTGTTACAAATAACATTCTAAGGTTACTTTTGTGCTTAATATTTACCTCTCTTTAACTTTATGCCATAGAAACTTAGCATTAAAACTAATTAGCTTCTACATGGCTGTTGAACACAGGTCACATGACTAGCCTCTTTCACTACAAGCTTGATTTAACTAATAGTACCTCAATTTCATTTAATAAGTACCCATTTCATTTAATAAGTAGGGTGATGTAAATGAATGCTTACCAAAGAGTATTGGTATAAGAGTGAAATGGTATTGATATCTGTTTCTTTCCTGTTGTTTTCTTTCAGGGAGAGAATCTTACTGTTATTGATAAACAGTCAGATCACTGGTGGATAGCCAAAAACTCAAGAGGGTTTGTTTCTTTGTTAGCCCTCAATTACTTCAAGTAACTTGGGCCAGGTGTTAGATGGTAACCATGAGGGACACTGTCTGACCTAGATATACCTTTGTGCAAAAAACATGACACTTTAATCACAAATTAAAAATATCATCCCATGGACAGAGAGCTAATTTCCCAGTCTCTCAAGTAGCTTGCTAATTCTCCTACTGCCATGAAGATTTTAACAGTTTTATATTATGTGCGTCCATTTGTACAACAGCAGCCATACAGAAGAGACTGAGATGAAGTAGTAAAACAAAAATATGTTAGGGTGAGATTGTGGGGGAAGTGAACCAAAATCAGAATCATACTTCAGACTTCTATAGGCTGCCGTTTTGAGATGATCAATATATTTAACTTCATGAAATCTTTTGAGTTGGATGTGAAAATGTGGATCTGTATGTTACATCTAAACTCACACAACTTTATTATCAACTGTAATGTCTCAGAAAAGAGTAGTTTATTTCATGTAGATGTTAAAGCTATACATGATGAAGCGAAGGTATGACTTGTGGCTTTGTTACTAGCAGTGATTAGAGTAAGTCCTTCTTTCATGTGAGGCAAATTATGATTTACATAATATTACAAAACAAATATTTGATTTTAGGGAACAGGGTTACATTCCTAGTAATTATGTTAGAAGACAAGGGTTGGAAAGTGAAAGGTTTGTTTTAGTTTAGTATTTTTATTTTGTTTTTGCATCTGTGCAATTTTATATCCCCATGGAAATTAAGGACATTATGAAGGGTGTGATCTCTGATTGTGATCACCCTATGATGATGGGTAAAAAGTGTTTATGACTGCACTGTAATCATGGCATGACCACCAAACAAATTGTAATCAGAAAGCACCAGATTAGGAGCAATACCAGATTGAGTACCTTGTAAACAACAGACAGGTTTCTAAGGATCTCTCTTGACTTTTGCCCCACCTATTTAGGAGGAGAACAAAAATTATATCTTCTAGTTTCTTTTCAACACTTTGGAACTCTAAATGATTTAAAAAAGGCAGAGGAATACTGTTTTCTTCAAAAATGTATACCATAGTCCTTAAAGGGTAAAAGTTAGCTTTGGGCTTCTTCTTGTAATAGCTAATAATGGCACAAATGACTTGTCATTTTCAATTGCTTCTAGTTGGTTTCAGCCTGAAATGTCAAGACAATTGACTGAGGACATTTTGAAGAAAGAGGTGAATACATGGTTGTTTCCTTGACTTTCTGTACTGGCCTCAGATTTTTCCATATGCAAATATTAAGTTCTTTACCTTAAATTATATATGGTGTACTTTAATAAAATATCTATATTTCAGGAAAAAGAGGGTTGCTTTCTGGTTCGTAATTCAAGCAAAGAGGGAATGTACACATTGTCAGTTTTGTGAGTGCTGTTGTTTTGGTTGCATTTGATCTAACAGTGTACTGCCTTAAATACATTCATGACTTTTTTTTATGTATTGCTTTATTTTCTTTACTGTTTTTTTAAGGCATGGTGATCATGTTCGTCATTACCACATCAAAAAAGATAATGGACAGCTCTACATATCAGACAGACATAGATTTCCTACTGTGTCTGAACTTATCAACTATCATCAACATAATAGTGGAGGTACTTTCTTATCCTCTTGTTAATTACACAGTTAAAGTAGTAATGTTTTAGCAGCATATCACTTTCATGTTAAAGTAAAATTTCAATTGTTGATGCTGTAATACTTTTTTCAATTTTTCTACAACTGTCATTTATCTCCCCCCTCTCCCCATTTCAATGTTGCCTAGTGTTGACAAAATGGTGATTAATTTCTTGCAACGTTGTTTGGGGGAAAGGGGAAACTTTTGGTTAAAGGTAACGAATCCAATCCTGCCAATGTGTCAGCTAATGTATTGGCTGACGTGTTGGCCACCGTTTATCCTTATAACGTATAAGATGCATCGGTGGTGTGTTAGTGGTGCGTCAATGACTTTGTTTGGGCCTTATTAATCTAAAGTAATACTAAACCCAGCTTCCTTTTCCACACTTAACTGTAATGTCCTCTTTGGAAAACTTTCACTAACAATATGGAAATGAATAATTTGCTTTTGGCGGCCACCTTGTCTGTTGTGTTATTAGAACTCAGTCCCCACTCGGTTATCGATCCTGAATAGGCATTAGATGAACATTTTCTATATTTTCCATAAGGATGCCTTAACATTCTAAACTGATACCTGTCATTGAGTTTTTAAATTCTTATCACCTAGAAGTTGGACATTGATTTTTTCAAATGTGGTGGCTCCAAAAGGAGCATTTTTTTTCTTTTATTTTTTGGAAAGGAAGCCCTCTAGGAATAGAGTGCATAATCCAATGCCAGTGGCAACAGCTCCTTCATGAGGTGAAGTTGTTTCATAATCAGAAACAGTCCATCCAGCTGCTTCTGAAAGGAAGCTGTTTTTTTGGAGAGGAAGCTCTCTGGGAATAGAAGGCATTATCCAATGCCAGGGTCAACAACTTCCTTGTGAGGCACAGTCATTTCAGGATTGGAAGCAGTCCTCCAAGCTGCTTCTGACACTCCTGCTCAATGGTTTTTACAGCTAGTTTGGGTTCTCCTAGCCTCTCCAAGGTGCTTGGAAATGTTACCTCATTGACTATTCTCAGCTCCACTACACCCAGGAAGTCTCAAATGGGTGCTACTTGCTGTTCCTGCCAGTCTATATGCATTATTTAAGCTGCCTTTTTTCTCCAGGAGGGTTGACATTACCACTGCATAGCATTGATGAATGTTGGTGAGGTTGTTGTGGTCAACCTTTGCAGTAGCTTCTTGGTTTGCAGATAATGGTACTGCAGGATTCTACATTGCTCGTAGCTGCAGTTTGAAAACTTTAATGTGCTCATCTTTTTCCTTCCGCTCTTCTTTGTAGGCAGTGACATGCTCCTTGCTCTGCCAAACCAGGGCTGCCATCTCATTGGTGTCTTAAAGGGCCTGTGTTAGCTTCTCGTCATTGTCTTGGCAGCTCTCTCTCAGTTCATCAAGCCTTGATACTTTTGTAGGCTTTGCCAAGTTGATGTTTTTTTTTCTGTGTAAGCTGTCTACAGATTGCTTTATAGTATGGCTCAGTTTCTGGAGACTTTGGCTGTGGCTGTTCTGTGGCTCTCTTTCCTTTTTTCTGCCTTTTTGGTACTGGTTGTTGACAATCACATTCAGAACTGTCACCACTACATGAACTACACATAACTAAACAGTGCATTCCAGTGTGACCAGCTTGACTGCAGATGGTACATGTAACTGTACATTCTTAGCAATTTTTCAGTTTTTCCATCCCGTTAAGTACCTGGCTACATCTGATGTTCCTATGGGCTATGCAGATTCCAGGGAGCAAAATTTTGTGGCTTACCAGCCTTTCAAAACCTATTGTGACCCAAGCACTGAGGGAACTGAGATCAATCTATTCCAACAAGATCCCGAATGCTGAAATTAAACTTGGAGGTTTACAAAAGATGTAGAGATGATGAGTCTAAGTTTGGTGCCAAGAGAAAGTGTAAGAGAAGGAGAGTCTCAGAAGGTCCATGGGTGTCTGGGGTAGCGGAGTGAGGATCACAGAAAGTGCTGGTCTTCCATGTTCCCGACAGAACTAGAGAGACACTTGTGCATCTTCTTATCACTACACTCATCCTTCCTGGAACTATCATCTACTTAGATCAATTCACTCTTTACATACCTCTCAAACAGATAGGATACATCCATCTATTGGTGAATCACTTCAAGAACTTTGTTGATTCTGACAATGGTGTGCACACCAATGCCCCGGAAGGCGTGTGGGCCTTGATCAAGAAGAAGTTGAGGTGCATGTGTGGTGCCCTGTATGAGTACATACCAAGCTATTTAGATGAGTTCACCTAGTTCAGGGACTTCGGAAGAGACCAAGCATTCAAGCAGATACTTGAAGATGTTGCCGAACAGTTTCCAGTGCAGTTAAAGTGCAATAAAAACGGCTCTTTTAGGAGCCATCACCTAATTCAAAAGTCGATGATCAATGAAAATTTTTTGCTTCCTAATCTCTCTAATAAACAAAAAGTAAACATGTTGGTGGGATCAGTGTGTCAAACAACACACTAACTCCCTTAGTATTCGACCCTTGAAAATGAATTTAAAAAACCCTGGAGAAGACCTGGGTACTAGTGTTTCATTTTCAAAATGGTGGTGATTTAGATTTCTTTTTCTACAAGGTTGGTCTTGCTTCCATTTTGGTAGTTTCATCCTTAAAATGGCAGCAATTTAGAGTTCCTTTTCTCATGCAGTCAATGTTACCAATGCATCAGTAGTGTGTTGTTTTACCAATGCATTGGCAGTGTGTCGGCTGACGCCTTGGCTGATGCATTGGTTGATCTTACCAACATGTCAGTAGTGTGTTGGGTTATGCGTTGGTAGTGTGTTGGGTTATGCATTGGTAGTGTGTTGGTTGTGTCATTTGTGTCTCAGTAGTCTTGTAGGCCGAAGTGTTAACTTTACCGACTTTTGAGCAACTTATCAGATATGAATTGCAAGATGTCTGTTTGTTGTATTGAGTGGAGTGTTGTTGTAACCACCTACTGAGGGGAGGGGTGTTGTTGTCTAAAATTTTCTGATTAAGTCGAAAGTTATAATTGCACCCCTTATGCACTGTATGTATTGGCCTGAACCTGTTTGACCAACAGGGTCCAGTTGTTCAAAGAATGGTTAAGATAACCCAGGCTTTGTGGGGAATTCGATTTCAGATCTGACAGCTTTGAAAGAAAATTCCTAGAATTCGCTTGGTTCACAATTTGAAGAATGGATATTGTATAAATAAAAGAGAAAATCATCTGATGAGAGGCTTTTGAAGAAAGGAGATAAAAAAAAACCTGGATTAAAATTTAACCTTGGTGTCAGCACCAATCTGCTTCAAACACAAGTCAAGTGGTTTCGAGTTAACATTGTTGGCATCATTTCTATGATCAATAAGGTTATAGACAGAGGAAAATTAATTGTGGTCAGTTTGTTTTTTTTTACAATAACATTGAAATGTTTATGCAGCTAATGTACCAAAAAAATCACCCATGGGTGACGTGATCAATCATAGCTTTGTTGTTTGTGCTGTTGATGTTTTAATTTGTGTTAGGTAAAGAATTCTAAAATGAAATACCAGTAAGTAGTGGATGATCTAGGAGCTCGGGTCTTCTTCGCTGACTTCTCGAAAGGCTGTGATCTAATTGACCACCACATCTTAATGACTGAGTTGCGAAAACTAGAGGTTGATCCAGCGCTCATCAGTTGGATCGAGGCGTTCCTAACCGACAGACAGCAAGCTGTAAGAATAGGTACAACACTATCAGAATGGAAATTCCTCAAGGGAGGTGTGCCACAGGGAACTAAATTAGGAGTGATACTTTTCATAATAATGACAAGCAATCTTTTAGCCGATTGGCACCTGAGAGTCAAGTTTGTGGATGACACGTCTGCCGTAGAAATACTACCCAGGAACTCTATCAGTCTGCTCAATACGATCGTTTCTAACATTCACGAATTCTCCATGGACCATAACATGAGACTAAACCCTACTAAATGTAAAGAGATGTTAATTAACTTTATGTCGTATCATAATTTTACTCTCAGACCATTAGTTATTGGTAATAACACTATAGAACGCGTATCCACTTACAAGATTCTAGGAGTATTCATCGATAGCGACCTTAGGTGGAATAGTCATGTTAACTACATATACAAAAAAGCTTGCAAGAAGCTCTACTCTCTACGTATTCTACGTCAAGCCGGCTTTGACCAAGGTAGCATGTTAAAGGTCTATACAAGGGCTGTTAGATCTGTTATAGAGTACGCCGTACCAGTATGGCAATCTGTTCCAGGTTATCTGTCTGACAAAATCGAATCCATACAGAAAAGGGTGCTTAAGATAATTTTCCCATGTGCCAATAGTTACTCAGAAGCCCTCGAGTTAGCACGGGTGGAGACCCTTGCGTATAGAAGAGATAAGATATGTAAAGAGTATATGTGCAAAATGAAGGACTTAAACCACCCTCTCCATCCTCTTCTACCAACACACTTAAACGATACCTGTCCCTATAACCTCAGGCACAAATCAGACCAGTTGTATCTTTACAGAAACGTTACTACCTGTAGAACGAAGCGCACCAAAGACTTTTTAACTTTTAAGTAGTTTTAACAAATGTGATGTATGTTTCGTGTAGTGTATATAACTTGTACAGAAATGTACATAGTCGTTCTTATTAAGTCTTCATTGTATCATAACTCGTTAATTCAGTAAGTTACTGCAAGAGAGTTTAATAAACTACTATTATTATTATTATTATGGCAGTAGACTCTGTTACCCTGGATTGTTTTTATTCAGCCCAGTTGGTTCTTATTTTTCAGCCCTTTGCTTTGGCATTGGCAAGTATTTCTACAACTGCTATAAGGTAGTCTTCTTTCAACCTTTGGAACTGAAAACTGGGTTTCTTTTAAACTGAAGATTTTTCCTTCACTTTTCTTCCACTTTGACAGGTTTCTCTTCCAAAATTTCTTTAAGCATGCTGATCTTAAAATTTGATATTCACCACTGTTTCCATTCTGAAATTTATTATTGTTTTTACAAGAGAAATTTTTTGCTGACATGGTGAAGATTGCTGAGTGTTGCATTACATGATACCTTCTTGACAATGACTCTTGACCATGAGTGCGGGAGAATTTATACAGTTGTTGAAAACATTAGTTTAATAGGCTTTACTCCTTCTAGTAACTGACTGTACAACTGCCATGGAGAGCCTCACTCCTAACAGCACATGTACCTGTGATAAAAATTAGACCAAAGTTAGTTTTGAATTTAAAAATAAAAACATTGTGACTACTCTTTTAGTCTTTGACATTCTGGATTAAGCAATAAAATTGCCTCTGTTTTACACAGATTTCACTTGATTGTTATTATACGGCTCTGTACTTTTGGTTTGTACATGTTAGTTTTAAATCACTAAGACAGGACATACATCCCTAAAAAAATCAGTCTAAAGTCAATGCTTCAGTTTTCAATTGATCGACAAAAATTGTCACTCCAAATTTTACTTGACTGTTTGATTAATTTGAATTTTCTTCTTTTTTACCTTTTTAGGCTTAGTGACCAGACTACGACAACCACCTTCATTTGGTCAAGCACCTGTTGCAGCATTTGGTCATGGTATGTGGATACATGTTACATGACTTTATGCAGTTTTTATTGACAATAAATGTGCAGATGAATGCTTGTGAGTTTTGTTTTATTTGGGAAGAAAAGATGAGATGCTGAAAGGCTATTGTATTAAGATAGAGGATGTAGTTGTTGCTGATAACTAGGGGTCCCATGTAGCAAGGATCAGCAAGGATAAAATTTAGAGGTTTGGTGTAAATTAGAGCAGTTTATTGTGAAGTTGATTTGGGGTCAAAACAGTTGGTGCATAAATATTTCTGTATTTGATTTCCTTTTACATTACTTTTGTTTTTTGCTTTTTCATTACCATAGATATATGGGAAATTCCTAGATCAGAAATTGTCCTTGGCAGAGAGCTAGGTACAGGACAATTTGGGGTACGAATAACCTTTACTTGAAGTTCTAATCAACTAAGACTTAAGTTTTAATTGATTCCTACATATACAAGAATGAATAAATAAGCTATCTAAACAGGCAAACACAATTTATGCAGATTCCAAGTTTGCGGCATGTCATTAAGATAGTTGGTTGCACAAACTATTTTAATCACACAGGGTATTTGAATTATGGTATATAACACTTTGCCTCTGATTAATACTGAAAGTATCAACAATACAAAGGTGAATTAAATTGTTTTGTTTTTACATCAAATTTAATGCTGTAATGGGTATTTCTCAATTAATGAAAATACAGTTAAATATTTTGTGCATTTTTAAATACATAACAATAGAGTGGAACCTCAATTTAACAAAGTGCCAAGGTTTGTTAAAGCAAGGTTCCACTGTATTACTATCCAGTGCATCTCTCTTGTTCATGGCGAGCAAGATTATTTCATTATTGAATACTTTGAAGTGCTGCCCTCTAAATCTTGACTACTGTTGTGTGCTCCTGGCATTCTACTGAAACAAAAGATACCTTTGATAAGCTGGGCAAAATTTTCACTTGACACCTTATTGCCTTTAGTTACCAGAAAACCAAACCTTATAACTATAGGGTTTTAACTTGGTTTAAACAAAACAACTTATATGTAAATTTTTCTTTTATTCATTCATTGATTGGTTGAAGCCACACATTTTTAATATGCAGTAATAAAGAGTGGTGTGACTTCATTTACTAACTTGTCATGACAGAGACTTTCCACCAAAGGAGAAAGTAAGAATTTCTAGAGTAATGTAAAACTTGCTTTTCACTCATTATGCTGTTGATTTCATTTTCACAACAGACAGTCAGACAAGGTACATTCCGTGGAAATTTGCATGTGGCTGTTAAGATGATGAAGGAAGGTGCAATGTCTGAGGATGATTTTATTGATGAAGCAAAAGTCATGACGTAAGTTTTTTTCATTAGTGATACTCATTATCACATGTGCAGTGGTGGGTTATTACATAGCTTAAGGTAGCTCCCCAGAGTATTTACAAATAATAAATAATAATAATAATAACTTGTAGTTATATAGTGCTCATATCTTGAGCTCATGACGCTTTACAACACTGTACGGGGGACTTTACCAGACTCCTAAGCAGTTTACAATCAAATAAAGGCAAATATGACAGATGCCGCCTCCCCCCAATTCCCAGTAACCAGGCCAGACCACATCACAGTAATCTCATGAAGTGGGTTCTTTAACGTCCCCTGCCTAACCAAATTTAACTAATTAAGAGATGCAGGAGACGGGACCTCCATTTATTCGTCCCTATCCGAGAAGACTAGAATATCTAACCATTTCTTGATTGATGTTATAGAAAGGTAGCATATTCTTCTCAATTATTTTAAGACCCTGAGTGTTGGTCCGGCCGGGGCTCGAACCCTCGACCTCCCGCACAACAGTCCGGCGCTTAACCAACTGAGCTAACCGGGAGGCAGTTAGCTCAATTGGTTAAGCGACAGAGTTCAAGTTACTTATTTTATAGGAAACCTAGTTAATTTATCTTGTAGTATTTCTTCTAGATTTACTAGTAAGGGTAACAATTTGATGGAGCTTGTGTTTTGGGTGTTAATTCTAAGTTCAATTTCAATTTCAATTTCAATTTCAATTTCAATCAAATCTAATGACAGCCAGATGTATTCCAGATATTGGCCTAAATACCTATTATTTACTTTCCTTCTGTGAAATGTCTTTTGCTAAAGAACATGCGTTCATTTAGTCCCAAGTATATGTTCTTATACTTGCTTCCACACTGTTTTAACAGTCTAGGTGGTTGCTTTTGGGAGGTGGTCACTTACAGAGGTCAGGCCTCAGGGGGTCTATGTCTTAAGTAATTTGCATATATTAACCAGACCCTTCACCAGGGCTTAGTGAAACCTTTAGTAATTACTTAAGGCGGCTTATTCAAAGGCAAAAATCTTAGGATCTGTGGTGACTGTTTTGATTTCAAGAAACGCTTCTGGTAGCTCCACTTTTACGATATTTTGAAACAATTTTGTCAGATTTCACTCACCAATTGTCTGTCAATTGCCTACAGGAGATTAAAAACAATTCAAATTTGTAAAAAAGCATCTCTAAAGGTTGTCATCTATGAGAGACAGTGGGTTACGAGAGGTGGTCGCAGAGGAAGGTTCAACTTTATAACTTTTTTCTATAAAACTGTGTCATTATGCAGTCTATTTGAGGTCTCTTAGATTTTAACTGTAACAGTGATGATCACTTGGTAAGAATTAGTTGCAAAAATGTTTGTAAATATGCATTTGAAGAATGGATCAAAACAGTAGATTGTCAGAGATTGAATGCCAAGAACCTTTCAAACTTAAATCAGCATTTCTGTGAAATATTTTACACAAAAAGCAAGTGTGAAACGGGTAACAACTGAAAAAAATTGGTCAAATTGAAAGAGAGATTTGAGTTGGTGTGCTCTTGGTAAAGTGAATTTTTCTTTGTCAATTGATAGAACTCTAGAAAATCTTCAGGGGTTTTCACTCTTACTCCTTGAGTTTGTTTTAAAGCTTCCAAAAGTTACGGAGAGATCTAGAATGATATTTTCCTTCCAACACCGCTTAAACACTCTTCCACATTTTAGAAGTGCATGAAAATGTTGCACTAGCACTATTTGGTGGATGTACAAGTTTTTGCTTGGAATAAATTTTTTCCAATTTTTCAATTCAAGGAGATTTCATAGTGGATGAAAACCCAATAAAGACACTTTCATTTCCCTTTGAGTAACTGCACATTCTTACTATGGACAGCTTACTAAGTTGTATTGAATCTTGAAGGAAATACCATGATAACCAAAAACACTGTCTGAACAAAATTAATCTGAAAGCATCTCCCTACTTTCCTGCCAATATGGGTGTGCTACAAGTACACTCATAAGTTCTAGCAAGCTTAAAGAGTGTGTTGGGAGGTAGTAAACAGGAGGCAATAATCCCTGTCCTCTAGTAAGTAAAAAAAAAAGCGGAAAAAGTGAGTGGGAAAGGTGCAGATAATGAATTTCTAGTGTCGTGATGTCTAACCTAGCCAGAGAATTTGCATGAGTCGAGGTGGAACTCCTGGTAGCAAGATCCCTTTATTGTATGTTTCAAAGCATTGCTTAGGTATTGAGGCAGAGAGGCTTGAAAAACCAGTGGCATTGTAGTCACAAACACAAGAGGTGTGACTGGTTTAGAACCTTAGTAGGTCCACCTTTTTTACATTAGCATGCTTTGATTGCTTAGGAAAATATAGTTGTTTAGATGCTTTCTCTATCATCTTGGACACATGCTTGTTCCAGTATTGGTTGCCAATTATAGTGACCCCACAACCTCACAACTTCAAGAATTAACTGTTATAGTCTATTAAAAGCTGTGGATTGATATATATGATACTCGTCTACCATGTACATTGTAGTTTTGTTTGTGATATGGACTTTTTATCTGGTTTGTAATAAATTCAAAGTGACATGATGCTCTTGTAACGTCCCATATTATATGGCCACTGTAATAGAGTTTTATGTTAGGCTGATTTTTCTAAGGGAGGCAGAAAGCATACTTTGTAGATCTTTTTTTAGCCAGAATCGACATTATTTGTGTGCTTCAAGATCAGTCCAGTAAGAGTTAGAGCCCCGTCAAATTTTCCCACTTTATGGTAACTGATTGAAATGGTAGGCACACTGCCTATACACAAGGAGATGGATATTTACCAAAGCAGCTTTTGTTACTTCTGGGCTCATTTTAGGACCTTGTGTTATCTTTAAAACAGGCAATTTCAACATCCTCATCTAGTTCAGTTGCATGGAGTTTGCAGTGAGAAACCCATCTATATCATTACAGAATTCATGTCTCAAGGTGGGTCTTCTTTGTCATTATCACTACAGTTTTTCATCATTGTTGATAGATTGAAGTCCCTTATGTGGCTTTAACAATTCCTACACTGTCTTGCCTCGTGCTCTTTTCTTGCTTACAGCACTTTGATAAATCTAAAATTACTTTCAAAAGTAATGAAAAGTGGGAGGGTCCATTGAGGTTAATACTGGCCTCTTTAATCAAGTATCTTTAGCTGACTAAATTGGTTGGTTCACATTTTGTACAAGGATCCCTATGATGTGGTTGCTGGTTATTTGAAAAAGAAAAAAATTAAAACAGTTCAACACAAATTTATGGCTGCATCCCAAGTATTAGATATATAACCCACTGCAATCTTCCTGCAAAAAATAATGACTTGTGTTTTGATTATTGTACTTTTTTTGCAAGGAAGTCAATGAGGTTATCTTGTGCAATTTGATCTTGTTAAATGTACATAAAGAGGGGCATAGATTGCCTCTTTAAACAAGTTACTGCCCATGACACTTTCAAAGTTCCTGTGAATAATTGAAGACACAAAGGGGTTCTATTGAATTTGATTTAAGCACGAAAATTCAATCCTCGTGGTCTATGAAAACCAACCTTCATGTTTTTCCTGGATTTTGTGCAGTATTTTTTGATTTTAGAAAATGTGTAGTGTTGATTTTCAAAACACGAATAAAGAATTCAAAACACAAGTACATTCAGAGCTCCTGATTGTGATGGTTATATTGTTTTTGTTGTGGTTTTTTTTCACCGTAGGTCATTTCCCATGTAGTAATTATTATACAGTACATGCAGACAGTGTAACTTCCAAGGAGGAATTTTATTTTGGGCTGTCACTAAGGGACAGGGGCTGGGAATTTTTCTGGATTCTAAGTGTCTTAGTCATAGCTATTTTGATAAGGGACTTTAACATTAGAAAGGGGAAATACATCAAATAAGAAAATTACGAATGATAAAACAAACTCGAACTTGGTTAGCCAAAATTCTTATTCACCTTTCGAAGATACCAATTTTGCGATTCCTGCGGCTTTGACTGAAAATGCTCTTCATAAGGAAATCTGGTTCGATGAGTTCCAAAACATTTTTCAACAGAAATCAATTGTCTTTTGTTAGTCTGCCTCAAGTGTTTTGTCCCAGGCCTCTCCCTTTCCCTGTTCCAAGAAGTTTTGAACTGAGAAATTTTGTATCCTGGCTACAATTTTCATTTCCCCACCTACATGAAAAATGAGTGACAGCCCTGGAGGAGCAATACTGTTTTGGCCACTTACCTTCACGGCCTCATCAATTTTTCAATTTGTTAAACCCATACAGAAGTGTTTCTTTGTAGGTCAAAGTGATCTTAATGTCATAATTCAGCAAGTTGTAAAAGCATTGCTTTTATATTTTTGATGATTGAAGATATAACAAGTCCTTGTTTCTCTTTTGTTGTTTCTGAGTAAGTGCCATAATTTCAGGGTGTCTTTTGCATTACCTGCGGCACAATCAGAGTGGCCTTCAGCCTCCTCAAATGACAGAAATGGTACGTCAAGTGGCATCAGCCATGATGTATCTGGAAAGTAGAAACTTCATTCACAGAGATTTGGTAAGAAGCTTCTCAACTAGCATTAACTAGAACGATATTAGCTAGTTTCAGTCAGGGTTAAAGTTTTGTTGTTTGGATGTTCAAGTTATTGCTGGTCACAGTTAAGGACTCATTTTTGGATTGAATGGCAAAATAACTTTTTTCTGTTGAGGATTATATCACAGAAGCCCTAAACTTTCATTGTTATTGTTTTTCTCTTTCAATTTTTAACATCATATCATGTGACAAAAGCTCTTCAATTTCATAGCGGCTGGGACGAAAATCTGGAAAAGGAGCTTGAGTCTGCCTACTACAGCGTGTACGCGTACTATTAGGTCTACTTAATTCAGGTTTTAATACAGATAAAAAGATATATTTGATTTTAGTATAAGAATACCAAGAAGTATTGTTGTTTATTAGGCAGCAAGGAACTGTCTCATCGGAGATAGCGACATCGTGAAAGTTGCAGATTTTGGTTTAGCAAGGTAACTAAAAATATTGAATGAAAGGCAGCAAATGGTGCTCACCTTTGATGCTGAAATTTCATGAATTTTTTTTAGGGATCAAAACTGTAAAAATTGTGTTAAAATTTTTTATCATATGAACCGTCCGGCCCCGCTCGCGCAATTCCATAGAAAAAACACAGTAAAAGCTGACGTAGTAGGGCCGGACGGTTGACGTGAGCCAGTCCGGAAAAGCCGTCCGACCCTGCCAGGGACCCGTATCTGAAGGTCCCGGTAACTTTACGGACCCGTAAAGCGATTCTATTTTTCGTTTAGATGGGGTTTGTAAATGTTTTGAGAATTATACAGTACAACGAGCAGCTAAAGAAACAGGAACAGTTGTCATTTAGACCCTGTAACACCTTTTTCAAAAGATGTTGATTTATGGACTTCTTGACCTTCATACATACATACAGACAGACAGACAGACAGACAGACAGACATACATACATACATACATACATACATACATACACTTTATTGAGCATCCCTGAAAAGGGCTTTTCAGCATCAATATTAAAAATAGTAAAACTAAATAAATAGCTTAATAACTATGTACTTTCATATTACTTATATATTACTTAATTACTATATGCAAACAACAATTATCCTCAAAAATCGTTCATGTTACAAATCAGTTCATTAATTAAACGTCTCTTAAAGACCTTAAAACTCGTGATTTCCCTTAAATCTTTACTTAAATTATTCCATACTTTTATGCCATGATAATAAAAGGCGCGTTGGCCAGCATTGATTCTACTAGATGGAATATTTAAACTATCTCTACGTCTCGTCTGTCTATCATGAATAGTTGCTCTAGTTGAAAATTTATTTGACAGATAACTAGGTGACCGTCCTTTGAGACATTTGTGCATCATAACTGCATTATTGACCATAAGTCTTTGTTTGACATTTAGCCATCGAAACGATCTTAAACCTGCAGAGATATGGTCATATTTGCGGAGTCCCAAGATAATCCTGGCTGCGAAATTTTGAACAAGTTGAAGCTTATAAATATTAATGAATAAAGGCTGATAGTTTCGAAAGAAACTGTTTGGGCTGCGTCGGTGGGAGTAACGAAATAATTTGGATATATCAACAAAGTTGAAATGGTAAATTGGCCACCGTAATGATTACAAAAGCTGACGTTTCGAGCGTTAGCCCTTCGTCGGAGCGAAGAGCTCAGAGCGAAGAGCTCATCACCAGAACTTATAAATATTAGTCGCAGAAGTATTTCTCCATACTGAGGAGCAGTAAAAGGTAGCCTACTAAAAACAAAACTATTAATAATTAACAACAGCGTTTCCCTATCAAGTAAATGCTTAATTCATACCATGTGGGGCAGAGAAACACTATTATGAGTAAATGAAAGTAATCATAACAAAGCTAATTATATTAAATAAGCTACGAGATGGTCATCGCGCAAGATATGTTTTCAAGCTGCCCCATGTTTTTTGTGTTTAACGCCTACATTCAAGTATGTCAGTTTTTGTTTTTATTCATCCATGAGTATTGATTATTTTAAATTTACCGAAGTTACGTTGGTAATTCACAGATATGTTATTGATGACGAATACACAGCATCGGAGGGGACAAAATTTCCAATAAAATGGGCATCACCAGAGGTCATTCTATACACCAAATTCAGCAGTAAATCAGACATATGGGCTTTCGGTAAGTGTACAACTCCAACACTGGTGCTCTATACCTTTATTATTTCTTCATTTATTCTCATCTATTCATTCATTCTTTCATTCGTTCGTCCGTACGTGAAGAGCTTCAATTGTGCACAATTGAAACCACACTGAGAAGCTTCAAGGAAAATAGCTGGCAGTTCATTTTAATATGAAACTTGTTCTGTTCGCAAAAAAAGAAAATTATCTTAACTTATAAATAGCAATTAAAAATTTACATTTATCTCTGTTCCCGAGAACAAAATTAATTCACGACGGAACATTTGCCGCTCTACTGGAGTCGATAATAATAATAATAATAATAATAATAATTATAATAGTATACGTTAATTGAAGCTCCTCCTTAGGGGCTTTTCAGCCACAATGTAGACTAACTAAGAGCTTAAAAATCCCCACTGGCAGGAGGCAGACCAGTGGGCTATTTACGGAGCGCAGCCGAGGAGCTGAACTAGGGGCAACCGAGAACAAATCCAGCGAGTGGCAGGGTGGAGGACTTGAACCCGGGACACCGGATTACAAGTCCAGCACTCTAACCACTCGGCCACGCCGACTACATTAGGTTGGTTGAATTTTTTCATATTCTGCCGAAAAAAACTGTTCTCTGCGTATCGGGTGATCAACGTCTTTAACCAACATCAAACCATTGGTGCTAACTGCTGTCGTTTCCTTGCGAGCGTTGTTTTCAAGACTTGGCGCACGCAGGAAACAAAACCAAAGCGGAAAATTACTCGTGCTCTTTCGCTGCGCTATGCAAATCGGCGAAATTATTAAAAAAAGAAAAATTAAGAAAAACTAAAAAGGATAATAAAAGCAAGGAATATAACGTGTTGAGTCTCCTTACCTTTTTTCCGTAGCCGCTTTGTCGTTTACGGTCCTTCTTACGCTATTTAGGGGACGCGTGTTGGTACTACTTGTCAACTGTATATAGGAAAACACAAGCTTTTGCATGTGATCGGCACTCTTCACCTTTTTTTACCGATATGTATTTGTGCTCATTCTGTTGACAAAAATGTGGACCGAGACAAGAACTTTTCCATCGACTTGATGTACTTTCAATGTTCAAGGGTTTACACACACTGATTTTCACACACAGCTGTATTCATATTTGCGTTTTCACCAAACAGATGAAAAAAACAACGATTCGCTTTTCCCCCTCAAAATTCGCCAGTTTCTCTTTAAAGCTTTAAAAACAAATACTTGCAGCTCGCAGTGAGAAGACCAAGAAGGCTTGAAATTGTATTTTAGAGCGATTGTGGCCTGGACGCTCTTTTAAAGACAAAATATATTAGGGAACGAGCAAACGTCTCGAGGAGTCATAGACTCTTCGCATTCGGTGTCTACACTCATAGTCGCACCTTTTGTTCAAAGAGCTTTGACTTGGTTACACATGTGCTGGCTGCGACGAGTCTTAATCGAAGCTCCCTCGAAGAAAAGTCGCATTGTATTTCAACGTCGCGGTATTACTTCGGAAAGTCGATAGAGGCGGTATTGTTTCGGAAAATCGATATCAATTGGTCTTCTAGCCTGCAGTGCAGGCGTCCTATTTGGGCGAGTTAACGTTAAGAAGCGCGCGATCAGGTAGAAGGGGTTGGGGGAGCGGGAAGAGGCGAGAAGACCCCAGCCCCTCTCCTCATTTTTGACTCCACTCAGTACAAATTTCTTTCTCCACTCAGCTCTCCGCTGTCATTTATATCAAAGATGGCGGCCATATTTCGCTAAGAAATTTTGAGCACTCGCTCGCCCAAATTACGCCCCCTCTGCGGGCTATTGGTCTTCAGTTGACATAACGATTTGTTGACGTCTTAGTGAGTGACAAATTTGCATATTCTGACCCCTAGCATAAGTCGTTCCACGCTTCGCGTAACCACGACTAAAAGGGTTTGCGTAGAACTGACAAATCTTGGAAGAACACGAACTAAGTGTCTAGATTCAAAAGATTTAAAAAAAAAAAAAGCATTGAGACACGCTTCGAAGCAAATGTCCCTCAATTACATGTTTAAAGTTATCTGTGCAAAACGGCTCAAAAAAGCTGCAGCTGTTGCCGGGTGACTGGACAGGGAATTACAATGAATTATTAGGGGTCAGCCATAGCATCCCATCCGAACCCATTCAGGGCGAGTGGAGGGGATAGGAATACTCTATGGCGCTCGACGCTTTGAAACTGAGATAAGCTCCCATTGGTTGAGCAACTCGGCATGATTGTACAATTTACGGATATGATGAATATATGAAACGAAGTCAGACTTCTTCAAAATCGCTCAAAAAAACATTTTTGAGGCAAAAGGACGACTATGCACCACAGGTAAAGTAATTCAACGTTTATTTATCAAGGATTTATGTGCATAGTCAGCAATACATCACTCTAGGTGAGGCAAACGGTAAATCTGGTACATTCACTATAAAACAACGGTCGGCTACACAAACAGAAATTGTATGGGCCCCCTGTGATTGAACCCGATAGCCGTATTCGTTTTGAAAAGGCGCGGATCATTGTTCAAATCAAAAGTCCATTTCTGATTGGATTGTGCGAACACGTGATGATGGATCTGAACTATTTCAACATGGCGTCAGACATGGCGGGAAAGGTGACTTGACTGTTGTGTAGAACTTCTTGTAAATGTTGTAAATGGAATGTTATCGAGAGCTTTTTTCGCATATTTACATCGTGACGAACTTGTAGAAATTCTTGTGTGTATTCATGGTCGAAAAAAATAGTTTACGGGCGAAGCCATCGCAATACTTTTTTTATTTCGTCAATATTTGCGATCGACTGTTTTCGCAGTGTTTTTACAGTGCAGTTTGTTCATTTTCAGAATTCCTCGTCAAATAGAACAATCTTATTAGACTTCAGAAATGGACTTCTAATTTGAACAATGATCCGCGCCTTTTCGAAACGGATACGGCTATTGGGTTCAATATTCAAATAATCAATTCGTTATTGCATTTGTGAAATGGGTAGCGGTTCAATAATCAAATAATCAATTCATTATTGCATTCTTGAAACGACTGGCGGGTTCAAAATCCAAGTGATCAATTCATTAATGTAATCTTGGGGGGTACGCTTCACTTTGTTTGACTGTAAAGTGCCCTGAGATCAAAATTTTCGTACATCATTTTTTTCCATTTTCGTGTTCAGTGTGTCTCCTTCACCCACTCTGCCAAATTTTAGTGTAGAGTGAGCACCAGAAATATCTTTTTTCGGGCCGTTAAATTCACGATTTCGCGTCCGCCACTATTTGATCATGTTCCGGAAGTTGATGCATGACTCAGAGGAAGTGACGTCAAAGGCTCAACGCGAAAATCTCACATGGCAAAATGTCAAGCAAACTTAACAGAGTGCTTTACTCCATTCTTACAAAAACGAAACAAAAATGACTGGGCATCAATGCGTAATTCAAAGCTGAATTAATAGTGCAGACCATGCTGCATCGGAGCCTTGCAAATAGATCAGAGCGGGGAAAAACGAATGCGATTTGTGCGGCCTCGCCGAGTAAACTTCAATCCTACAGAAATATTTGTGATCTAGTCCGAACACTTCTCGGAGGACTGTTTCGAGAGATCTGTGTACTTTGAAGGATCTAGGCGAAGAATTCTGTCGGGTTCAGTGCCTACCGTTCAAGAAGAGAAGGGACAAGAAAAACCGTCCTCAGTGCGATCTCGACGCCGGAAAGCGAAGTCTACGAACCTCCACGGATTTTGTCACCTTTACATATGAGCTGATCAATATCCACCTTTAACAACTCTCTGGCAGAATACCTTACACGAAGGAAAGTACTCGGTAAACATTGTAAATAAGAATGATAAAATAGCCGAATTGTGGATTGAGATTTCTGACCTCAGAGCTCACTTTTATACAAAAGAGATGAAAAATATAATTGTGTGCTCTGATTCTAAAAAAAGCTGGTTTTAATATCAGCGAAAGCAGAACAAACAGCTTAAGACACAGAGCGTAAAAACACTTTAAAATGTAGGCTTGCAGCCAAAAAACCGAGAAAATAAAAATTATTTAAAAGCCTGTCAAACTATCAACCATCTGACAGCCAAGTCAGCGTGCTATCAAAGGATCTCAAATTCATCCCAACGCCTGTGACAAACAAATTTAAGATCATGCCAACTTTTGCGAGATTTATTCGTGAGACGAATGCACTTCCGTTACACCTTTTACGGACAAAACAAAGAACCACTTCTGTTTCATATCAAACTGAATGCCACCGGTTCAGTCTTCTATAACCTTTCAGAGCTACTTGGAAAATTGTCATAACGCTACTTGCAGACTGAAAAATACTTTGAAACGCAATGAGGTCACGGCTCTAAAAGAGTTGAAACAAACTCTGCTTTAAACCTCGCCGAAGCAACACAACAATAGAATAAGACAAAAAACTAAAGAGGCCAAAGTGAAACTCAACAACAGAGTTCACTTCAAACCTCTCAAAGCACCGATAGTAAGAAACGGGTAGGAAAGGGTTAATGAGATCATTGACCAAATGCATCGGGGAAAACACATTGATGGCTTAGAAATGGCTTTCACAAACTCCCAATATCCGCCTTCGGATACACAATTAGCCATTGCCGAAAACTATTTTTACTAATCACCCAATCATTTCTTAAAAGAAAGGAAAATCCCTTACGACGAGAAAAAATACAGTTCGAAGGCAATAAAGCGATGCGACCACAAAAGCCACATGGGGAGTCAGTGCCGTTCTGTGTTTATCTTTATTCGCATGGCAAAAATTCATCGTTTTTCGGCGCAAAACTATCCACAGAAGCTTCAGATGATTTCTGGGACAATTCATCATCTGAAAAAGTCGACATTTCCCGACTGACAACGAAACAGTTCTCAAAAAAGTAATATGTGCGATTCTCTGTGCAGCGAACAAAGAGAGTTGTGACAAAGCAAAGCATAAGTTTGTTGAGCCTTTGACATCATGATGACGTTTTTGGGGGCTCGGCTGGAGCATGTTTTCAGCAATGGCGGACGATTTTTGGACGACTTTGAAGCAGTAAAAATTGATTATCGAAGGTTTGTTTTGAGTTTTTAATGGTAAAAAGGTTCTTAACTTTACCCAATTCAACATTGTGTAAACAATTTAGGCCAAAATGAAATGGTCAATTTTCGTCTCAGGGGCACTTTAAATATTCTCTTTGTTTATGAGAAGATCACTGATGTATAATTTCTCGTCGTCAATGAGTATTTCAATGTAAACAGTTGTTGTAGTAATCAAAATTTTAACCGGCTTCGTGGTGTCATTAAATATTGTGTGACTAGTTAATTATTGATTCCAATGCCACCTTTGTGATAAAACTGTAGATCAGGGCTCGAAATTGAAAGAAAAGTTCAGTCGCCATTTTGCGACCTGATACGTAAATATAGTCGCAAGTTCACGAATTTTAGTCGCAAAAATAATTAACCACGCAAGGGTCAGCTCTAATCCAGCGGTGTAACAAACGAAAATATGAGCCTGCAATACATATGAATAAGACACCGCTGCAATGGCGGCCGATCAAGGTAATGGCGTTGCGTGAACAATATTGCGGATAAATTAGGTACAATTTTACCCTATATCTTCAAATGTCTATGATAATCAAGGCACACGACAATCTATTTTTTCATTTCTTTATTTCGGCAAAAATAGTGGCAAAGTAGCGACTGCTGGCTTTTTATTCTACTCGCAAATTTGCGACTCCTCGGGAAATTTTAGTCGCAAACATAAAAATTAAGTCGCAAATGCGACTGTATTGGTCGCAATTTCGAGCCCAGTAGATATTATTTTAAAATGAATACGTTACTACTAAAATATTGTGCCTAAATTCGTTTAAATAATTTATTGCAAGGAATCCTAACATGGGAGATATATTCAGCGGGAAAACAGCCGTACCCTTCTATCAGCAATACTGATGTAGTTCAAAAGGTTTGTACGTTTTTTTTTTAATTTTTAATCAACCCAAGGAAAAGTGAACTCCATCTCTTCGAACTTATTTGTGCATTTATTGACCGAGTGGAAGGGCTGGACGGTATAGTCATGACCAAACGCGACCTTACACAATCGAAAACAGGGCGGAGAGAGATTGGTCCGCTTTTCGTGCAATGTGTGATGCGCAGTAGGACTGGCACGAGCGCTCTCTCCGCGCTTCCGGTGCGTTATTAAGGTTCCTTCGGGAAAAATTGATACGCGCGCTAGTTTCACTAAAATCTATTAGAAGAAAGCTCAATAAATGTAGTCTACGACAAAAATATAATTTAAGCGACTTTTCCTTTTGGTAAGTGTTTAGGAGTCGGTAAGGCGTGAAACGACCGAGGGTTCTATTGAATTATCGGGTATCAGATGCTGCAGCGCAAGCAAATACCTGTACAGTCTTATTCACAAGTTATCAATCAATAAAAGTACGTTAGGCTTTTTCGAAATTCTGATTGGTTGTCAAGACAAATATTCCTAAAATCAAACTTTGGCGAAATTTGACGAAAATCGGTCAAATCTAGATATCCTATAAATTCGCTAAAAGTGAATGTATTCTTCTCAAAATCAAATGCGAAACTTTAGCCCATAAAGGTTCGCACACAACTCGCACCAAGCCAGGAGATTATCTCGCCTCCTGAAACCGCAAACCAATGGGACAAGGGGACCCCCTGGCGTCACCAACGATGGATCAAGTTTTCCCGGGATCGCTCAGTAGGGCATTGAAGAGGAGGACACAGTAATGGGCAAAATTGCAAAAGGCAAAGGATAAAACCCGCGGCAAAAATGTATGAACTGAAGAATTTGCTGAGAAGCCCTAAAACGAATCGAGAGACAGCTTTCAAAATTGATCAATGCGAGACGATTGTTAAAGTTTTTGTGTCAAGACCGGTACTTGTATAAATGAAAGGAAACCTCGTTTTTAACTTTGTGTATGATAAATTTGGTTTGACGGTAACTTCTTTGTTAGAAATCTGAACCCCAAGCGTGGAGCGTGGTAGCTTTCACTTTCATCAACAATGTTTTCTCTTCTTGAAAGAATGGTTCTCTTCTTCTTTGGGCCTGTTTTTTCTTATTTTACCAAGGAGTTTTTGTTGATTTTCGTCATCTGATCATCAGGTCATCTCATAAAGTTGATAGCCAAAATTAGATAATAACCAAAATAACTAATTTTTTAGGGGCTATTGGTGTATGATACGTCCATCAGTACGGCGATTCCGCTCGCCAACGAAACCTGAAAATGTCCTTCCTGTCAGCGTGTGTTTTTGTGTTGAGTCAGACCCAAATTTACTGGAGAAACACCCCTTCAGGAACCCTTATTTAAGAAGAAAGAAATTTCTGTTACCCTTATACTTTTTTAAGCGCTCTTTATATGGATAAAGAGCGCTTAAAAAGTGTCTACCTGGTAATCTTTCCTAAAATATGTTTTATTTTGTTGCCGTCTATTTGATAAAATTAGAGAACTTCACGTTCACCTTTAGATGGGGAGGTCAAATTTATGGTTGAATTCGTTTCTAGGTCATCAATGGTTATCGACTGCAGAAGCCACATAGGTGCCCTGATGAGATGCACAGAATTGTAGAACGCTGCTGGAACGCGGTATAGTTACCTCGTTATCCTTTTTAACCTTTACACCACACTTTCCCTCGCTTCAATAATTGATATCACAATCAATGGGATGAGTTATTATACTGCATAGCAGCAAAGTTGTCTTTAACAATGTTCATTTTATTCCACAATTACTCCATTTTACCATTTAGGGCCGCGTAAATACACCTTATTCCATGGTTAAACTTACAATACGCGCAGATATTTTGTAAGTTTCGCAGTATTTTTCTAAGCCCCTTTAGGCCAAGGAAAGATAGGAAAATGTCCGCCTGTATTATAGGTTAAACCATCGAATAAAGGATTTAATATTCCACTGTTATTTAATTTTCTAATACACCTTTTACACCTCAAGAACGCAAGATAAATTTTCACTTGGTTCAATGAATAGTTAATTGTCGCCGCAGTGTGATCAAGTTTGCGGGGAAATAGTCGTCTTGATTTTTACATGCTTATTTGGAATATTTTCATTAAAAGAAGTATTTTTCATTACCGTTTCATTTCAACGTAAATAGCATTCTTTAGTGTGACTGAGTGCTCATTAGCGCCATTCCATTCTTCAATATCAATAAAATTTCACTTTCACCTTTAAATTTTCCCACTGGATTTCGATGAGACTTATGATCTGACAACGAGACTGTTCAGATTCTTCTCGCAGAAATAGCCTTCAGAATACCTAACCGTGTTCCAAACGAGCATCGAGAAAGATAAGTAAGGGCGTTTGAAGATGAGCACGACGACTAACTTTTGGTTGCAAATACCTTAAGGCTAAATAGGTCCATAGTGAGAGGCATTAAAGCAAAATGAGTCCGGGAAGGACGAATACATGAAAGGGCACGTGGTGGTCGTAACAACGATAAAGTGGATGAAGAAATAAGTGCTTGAATGACAATGAGAACGGCCTGCTTACTTTGAAGGAAATAAACCACGAGCTTCGTCGAAGATTTCCGGGAAAACCTTTCGTACACGACAGAACGATTGGAAAAGCTCTTGACGGGATGCTGGTATGTGTTAAACTGGCAAGACCATTACCAGCGGATAGGAACAGCCCACATGTTATTCAGATGCGCGTTATTGCGCTAACTGATTCCTGACCACTGTGACTGTGAAGCCGCTCTAACATTTGGACGGCTAGAAGCCATGTGACAATCGCCACGGCTGTATCTCGCTGAATGGACTCGTCCATCACAATTGGCGGAATGAATGTCCGCCTCTTCAACGACTTTTTAGCGCAAACAAGACAGAACCTAAATCCGGACGACCTTGTGATACTCATATATGATGGATCTCCTGCGTATCGGAGTGCTAACAATCCAGGGGGCAAATACAGTCCGTTTCTCAACATCGTGGAACAAGCGATCAGTGCTCTTAAAGCTGCAATCAAGGCCGATATCTCTCAACCTGCCATTCAAGAGGAGATAAACAACCGGGAAGAAGCAAGACGTTAAGGCATTCCACTGGAAGACTATCGCCAGGGAATTCTGTTAAGAGCATGCCGAAGAAATATGAATGGAATTACTGTCCGAAAATCCGCTCAAAGGTTTAGGGTGATGCAAAACTTCGTTGCTTAAAACGCGAACAACAGAAGGATAGGGAATTACTGGAAAACAAACTTAATTTGAATTCTAAAGTTGTTAATGTAGCTGAGAACTGTCGTTGATTTCGCTATGGCATTAAAGAATGAAAGTATATTGGTGTAAATGATTTTTCGTATTTATGTAAACAGCGTAAATAAAATTTAAAACCGTCACAATGATTGTCTTTTCGCTAACTTGATGACACTTTCCTGTTATTAAACTTTAAAGTGGCGCTAATGAAAATTTATCTTGAGTTCTTGAAGGCAAAAGGTGTGTTGACATTTTTGGTTCACGAAATACTTCCTACGGCCTTATCTAAGCATCTTATGGATCGATTAAGGCGTCAAAAATGCGACAAAATCTGATACACTTAAAAGCTCGTTTTCTTGAAAAGTCTAACCCAAAGGATGGGAAGAAAATTCAAGGTATGGGTCGTTCAGTGTGTGGCGTATTTGCGTGTTCTGATTCCCTAGTATGATAAAATGGCGTAGTAATGGAAGTATAATAACCTACTTGATACGTTACTTTGTATTATAGGAACCAGAGCAGAGACCCTCCTTTGGAGCAGTATACAAAATCATTTTAGACTTTGTGGGAGAAGATTACGATGAAACTATTGAGTAAGGAAGAACCTCGGCAATTGAAGAACTGAATGGCACCAGTGTTAGGTAAAAAGTGCCAAATTCAAAATGAGAATAGTTAAGTGATGCGCCAATGTTGAGAAATCGTGATTAGTGAATTACGATGAATTATAAAAGTCAGGTTTTGTATTGAACTAGGTGTCCATGTATCGAATCCCGACAAACTTTCCTTTCAAATATATTGTCTGTTAACTAAGTTTTTCTGTAATTGAAGTTATGTTTTATACTTGAATAATACTGTTATTATTGCTATAAAAATAAACTGCAATATATATATTTACGTAGGAAGTTACAGATAGATTTTAAGGACGGAGAGTTGTAACTCGAGTTTCACGCACCGAGTGATCGTCAGGGTGAAGCAGAATTTAATGTTTAAGTTTCAAAGTTGAAATTCAGGAACGGTTGGAAAATAAGCAGAGTTACAGTAATTCTTACGAAAGAAACAACATCTTTGAGTTCGAAGTTATCTTTGCGTGGTGTTTCTGTCACGAGTTTCTTATAATATGAACAAATTGCTTTGTAGTAGAAGTTTCCAACTTGGATGGATGACTTTTAAAAAAACCGGCGGAAGATTTTTCTATCATTTTTTTGTTTGACAAATGATTTTGATTCAAAATATTTTTAGATGAGTCAATAGACATTAGTATTTTGAAGAATCATTCCCTCTGAGAATTTTTGTACTTTGGAGTAGGAACATTCTGGAAAAATACTTAAAATTATATATTATTTAATATGTGTTCCGCATAGCCTCCATCCTCGGAGACCCAGGGGCTGTGAGTCGATTTCAAGTTAAGGGCAGAAGAGCCCCTGGGGACATTGTCTTACAAGACTAGTTCCAAACGGTCGCAGTCGTTCTGGCATCTGATCGGTGCCAGAAAATCTTTGTGTTTTTCTGCCCAATCAGAGTGAAGTGTCCTTTGGAGTCCTTTCGTGTGTTTTAACACGCACATATACAACAAGCTCTGTTGCTCGCTATGCTTGTTTGGGCCGTACGACGAAGCTTTGCCTGAAGTGAAAAGTTTCAGTCTCGGCACACAATGTAAGAGAAATCCATCAGATTGTCCGCGAAATCTTACCGGAAGTTATACTGAATACTTTCGCAGGAATCAAAAGAGAACGTGTTTAAAAGTTTGCGAGGTTCGTGTAAAACATAATGGTTGCAGGCATTGATATGTCGCTTTAAACGTTAGATGAGATGTAAGCCTAAATCTGT